AAGAAAGAAAATCCCCAAAAAGAAAATACTTTCAACATCATTCAGCACTTTCACCACACTCGCACATTATCACTGTTCTTGCAGAGGTGCTCAGAATACAACAGTTTAGAAGCATACACATATAAAGATACACAACATATCCCTCCAAACTGCCAATATCCCAAACCCCTCCTTTAAAGTGCAGGCATTGTACTTCCCATTTCCAGGACTCAAGTCCGACTATATGAAAATAACCGGTTTCCCTGAATCCCTTCACTAAATATTACCCTGCTCACACTCCAACAGATCGTCAGGTCCCAAGTACCATTCTTCTCCATTCACTCCTATCTAACACGCTCACGCACGCTTGCTGGAAGTCCAAGCCCCTTGCCCACAAAACCTCCTTTACCCCCTCTCTCCAACCCTTTCGAGGACGACCCCTACCCCGCCTTCCTTCCCCTATAGATTTATATGCTTTCCATGTCATTATACTTTGATCCATTCTCTCTAAATGACCAAACCACCTCAACAACCCCTCTTCTGCCCTCTGACTAATACTTTTATTAACATCCACACCTTCTCCTAATTTCCACACTCCGAATTTTCTGCATAATATTTACACCACACATTGCCCTTAGACAGGACATCTCCACTGCCTCCAACCGTCTCCTCGCTGCTGCATTTACCACCCAAGCTTCACACCCATATAAGAGTGTTGGTACTACTATACTTTCATACGTTCCCTTCTTTGCCTCCATAGATAAACGTTTTTTTGACTCCACATATACCTCAACGCACCACTCACCTTTTTTCCCTCATCAATTCTATGATTAACCTCATCCTTCATAAATCCATCCGCCGACACGTCAACTCCCAAGTATCTGAAAACATTCACTTCTTCCATACTCCTCCTCCCCAATTTGATATCCAATTTTTCTTTATCTAAATCATTTGACACCCTCATCACCTTACTCTTTTCTATGTTCACTTTCAACTTTCTACCTTTACACACATTCCCAAACTCATCCACTAACCTTTGCAATTTTTCTTTAGAATCTCCCATAAGCACAGTATCATCAGCAAAAAGTAACTGTGTCAATTCCCATTTTCAATTCCCCAAAATTTAATCCCACCCCTCTCCTGAACACCCTAGCATTTACTTCCTTTACAACCCCATCTATAAATATATTAAACAACCATGGTGACATTACACATCCCTGTCTAAGACCTACTTTTACCGAGAAGTATTCTCCCTCTCTTCTACACACCCTAACCTGAGCCTCACTATCCTCATAAAAACTCTTTACAGCATTTAATAACTTACCACCTATTCCATATACTTGCAACATCTGCCACATTGCTCCCCTATCTACTCTATCACGTGCCTTTTCTAAATCCATAAATGCAATAAAAACTTCCCTACCTTTATCTAAATACTGTTCACATATATGCTTTAATGTAAACACTTGATCTACACATCCCCTACCCACTCTGAAACCTCCTTGCTCATCCGCAATCCTACATTCTGTCTTACCTCTAATTCTTTCAATTATAACCCTACCGTACACTTTTCCTGGTATACTCAGTAAACTTTTTCCCCTCTATAATTTTTTACAGTCTCTTTTGTCCCCTTTCCCTTTATATAAAGGGACTATACATGCTCTCCGCCAATCCCTAGGTACCTTCCCCTCTTTCATACATTTATTAAACAAAAGTACCAACCACTCCAACACTATATCCCCCCCTGCTTTTAACATTTCTGTCATGATCCCATCAGTTCCAGCTGCTTTACCCCCTTTCATTTTACGTAATGCATCACGTACCTCCCCCACACTTACATTCTGCTCTTCTTCACTCCTAAAAGATGGTATACCTCCCTGGCCAGTGCATGAAATTACTGCCTCTGTTTCTTCCTTAACATTTAAAAGTTCCTCAAAATATCTCGCCATCTACCTAATACCTCCATCTCCCCATCTACTAACTCCCCTACTCTGTTTTTAACTGACAAATCCATACTTTCCCTAGGCTTTCTTAACTTGTTTAACTCACTCCAAAAAATTTTCTTATTTTCATTAAAATTTCTTGACAGTGCCTCTCCCACTCTATCATCTGCTCTCCTTTTGCACTCTCTCACCACTCTCTTTACCTTTCTTTTACTCTCCATATACTCTGCTCTTTTTATAACACTTCTGCTTTGTAAAAACCTCTCATAAGCTACCTTTTTCTCTTTTATCACACCCTTTACTTCATCATTCCACCAATCACTCCTCTTTCCTCCTGCCCCCACCCTCCTATAACCACAAACTTCTGCCCCACATTCTAATACTGCATTTTAAAACTATTCCAACCCTCTTCAACCCCCCACTACTCACTTTGCACTAGCCCACCTTTCTGCCAATAGTCGCTTATATCTCACCCAAACTTCCTCCTCCCTTAGTTTATACACTTTCACCTCCCTCTTACTTGTTGTTGCCACCTTCCCTTTTCCCATCTACCTCTTACTCTAATTGTAGCTACAACTAAAATAATGATCCGATATATCAGTTGCCCCTCTATAAACATGTACATCCTGGAGCCTACCCATCAACCTTTTATCCACCAATACATAATCTAATAAACTACTTTCATTACGTGCTACATCATACCTTGTATATTTATTTATCCTCTGTTTCATAAAATATGTATTACTTATTACCAAATCTCTTTCTACACATAGCTCAATTAAAGGCTCCCCATTTACATTTACCCCTGGCACCCCAAATTTACCTACTACTTCCCTCCATAACATTTTTACCCACTTTAGCATTGAAATCCCCAACCACCATTACTCTCACACTTGATTCAAAACTCCCCACGCATTCACTCAACATTTCCCAAAATCTCTCTCTCTCCTCTACAACTTCTCTCTTCTCCAGTGCATACACGCTTATTATAACCCACTTTTCACATCCAATCTTTATTTTACTCCACATAATCCTTGAATTAATACATTTATAGTCCCTCTTTTCCTGCCATAGCTTATCCTTCAACATTATTGCTACTCCTTCTTTAGCTCTAACTCTATTTGAAACCCCTGACCTAATCCCATTTAATCCCTCTCCACTTAAACTCTCCCACCCCCTTCAGCTTTGTTTCCTTAAAGCCAGGACATCCAGCTTCTTCTCATTCATAACAGCCACAATCATCTCTTTCTTATCATCTGCACAACATCCACGCACATTCAGACTTCCCACTTTGACAATTTTCTTCTTATTCTTTTTAGTAATCTTTAAAGGAAAAGGGGTTACTAGCCCATTGTTCCCGGCATTTTAGTTGACTTTTACAACACGCATGGCTTACGGAGGAAAGATTCTTATTCCACTTCCCCATGGATATAAAAGGAAAAGTAATAAGACCAAGAACTATTAAGATAAAATCAAAGAAAACTCAGATGAGGTGTATAAATAAACGTGTACATGTATGTGTAGTGTGACCCAAGTGTAAGTAGAAGTAGCAAGACGTACCTGTAATCTTGCATATTTATGAGACAGACAAAAGACATCAGCAATCCTACCATCCATCATGTATAACAATCACAGGCTTTCGTTTTACACTCACTTGGCAGGACGGTAGTACCTCCCTGGGTGTTGCTGTCTACCAACCTACTACCTACATATATATATATATATATATATATATATATATAATATATAAATAATATATATATAATATATATATAATATATATATATATATTATATTTTATTAATATATATATAATTTATTTTGAAAACTGAATCCACTTTCAAAACGTTCTAAAACATTTAAATTTGGGAATGTTAAAAGAAAGCTTGTAAATAAAGAGTGTGACTGTTTCAGGGTCTGCGGAACTCTGCCCACCTGGAGAGGTTGATCAAACAGACGGAACTTGTCTTCCACATGGAGAAGAACTTCTCCACCGCAGCCTATATCGCTAGTTACGTAAAGATCCCCAAGTGAGTCTTCTGTCTCTATTATAGAGAGGTGTTGTAACTTCCAGTTTGTAGCTACAGCAACAGAGATGTGTTCATGGTGTTCTCTCTTCAGTAATTTGTTCTAAATGTAATTTGTTAATAAACTTGCACTACGTCCTCTGTTTTAAATTGTTCCGCTGATCAGCCACTAGTAATAACTATTGCTAAATGTGCTTCAGTGTATATTTTTTTAACACACATTGGGCGTCTCCAAGGTAGGATGACCCGAAAATGAAACACTATTCACCATCATTTACATTATCACTGTCTTGCCAGAGGCGTGCAGATACGAGTTTAGATTTAGATTTTGCCACCGAAGTGGCTAGTTTCTTGTGCACCCCATATCTATCCTGTGGATGGTAGCGAAAGAGCATATGGATACACTAAAGGATACTTTAGATGTCCCTCCAAACAGCAAATATCTTCACCCATCCTTCAGAGTGCAGGCACTGTACTTCCCACCTCCAGTACTGTAACATCCTCACCAATCCTTCAGAGTGCAGGCACTGTACTTCCCACCTCCAGTACTGTAACATCCTCACCCATCCTTCAGAGTGCAGGCACTGTACTTCCTACCTCCAGTACTGTAACATCCTCACCCATCCTTCAGAGTGCAGGCACTGTACTTCCCACCTCCAGTACTATAACATCCTCACTCATCCTTCAGAGTGCAGGCACTGTACTTCCCACCTCCAGTACTGTAACATCCTCACCCATCCTTCAGAGTGCAGGCACTGTACTTCCCACCTCCAGTACTGTAACATCCTCACCCATCCTTCAGAGTGCAGGCACTGTACTTCCCACCTCCAGTACTGTAACATCCTCACCAATCCTTCAGAGTGCAGGCACTGTACTTCCCACCTCCAGGACTGTAACATCCTCACTCATCCTTCAGAGTGCAGGCACTGTACTTCCCATCTCCAGTACTGTAACATCCTCACCAATCCTTCAGAGTGCAGGCACTGTACTTCCCACCTCCAGGACTGTAACATCCTCACCCATCCTTCAGAGTGCAGGCACTGTACTTCCCACCTCCAGTACTGTAACATCCTCACCCATCCTTCAGAGTGCAGGCACTGTACTTCCCACCTCCAGTACTGTAACATCCTCACCCATCCTTCAGAGTGCAGGCACTGTACTTCAAACCTCCAGGACTGTAACATCCTCACCCATCCTTCAGAGTGCAAGTACTGTACTTCACACCTCCAGTACTGTAACATCCTCACCCATCCTTCAGAGTGCAGGCACTGTACTTCCCACCTCCAGTACTGTAACATCGCCACCCATCCTTCAGAGTGCAGGCACTGTACTTCCCATCTCCAGGACTGTAACATCCTCACCCATCCTTCAGAGTGCAGGCACTGTACTTCACACCTCCAGTACTGTAACATCACCACCCATCCTTCAGAGTGCAGGAACTGTACTTCCCATCTCCAGGACTGTAACATCCTCATCCATCCTTCAGAGTGCAGGCACTGTACTTCCCACCTCCAGTACTGTAACATCCTCACCCATCCTTTAGAGTGCAGGCACTGTACTTCCCACATCCAGTACTGTAACATCCTCACCCATCCTTCAGAGTGCAGGCACTGTACTTCCCACCTCCAGTACTGTAACATCCTCACCAATCCTTCAGAGTGCAGGCACTGTACTTCCCACCTCCAGGACTGTAACATCCTCACCCATCCTTCAGAGTGCAGGCACTGTACTTTCCACCTCCAGTATTGTAACATCACCACCCATCCTTCAGAGTGCAGGCACTGTACTTCCCATCTACAGGACTGTAACATCCTCACCCATCCTTCAGAGTGCAGGCACTGTACTTCCCACCTCAAGTACTGTAACATCCTCACCTATCTTTCAGAGTGCAGGCACTGTACTTCCCACCTCTAGTGCTATAACATCCTCACCCATCCTTCAGAGTACAGGTACTGTACTTCCCACCTCCAGTACTGTAACATCCTCACCCATTCTTCAGATTGCAGGCACTGTACTTCCCACCTCCAGCACTGTAACATCCTCACCAATCCTTCAGAGTGCAGGCACTGTACTTCCCACCTCCAGGACTGTAACATCCTCACCCATCCTTCAGAGTGCAGGCACTGTACTTCCCATCTACAGGACTGTAACATCCTCACCCATCCTTCAGAGTGCAGGCACTGTACTTCCCACCTCAAGTACTGTAACATCCTCACCTATCTTTCAGAGTGCAGGCACTGTACTTCCCACCTCTAGTGCTATAACATCCTCACCCATCCTTCAGAGTACAGGTACTGTACTTCCCACCTCCAGTACTGTAACATCCTCACCCATTCTTCAGATTGCAGGCACTGTACTTCCCACCTCCAGCACTGTAACATCCTCACCAATCCTTCAGAGTGCAGGCACTGTACTTCCCACCTCCAGGACTGTAACATCCTCACCCATCCTTCAGAGTGCAGGCACTGTACTTCCCATCTACAGGACTGTAACATCCTCACCCATCCTTCAGAGTGCAGGCACTGTACTTCCCACCTCAAGTACTGTAACATCCTCACCTATCTTTCAGAGTGCAGGCACTGTACTTCCCACCTCTAGTGCTATAACATCCTCACCCATCCTTCAGAGTACAGGTACTGTACTTCCCACCTCCAGTACTGTAACATCCTCACCCATTCTTCAGATTGCAGGCACTGTACTTCCCACCTCCAGCACTGTAACATCCTCACCAATCCTTCAGAGTGCAGGCGCTGTACTTCCAACCTCCAGGACTGTATCATCCTCACCCATCCTTCAGAGTGCAGGCACTGCACTTCCCACATCCAGTACTGTAACATCCTCACCCATCCTTCAGAGTGCAGGCACTGTTCTTCCCACCTCCAGGACTGTAACATCCTCACCAATCCTTCAGAGTGCAGGCACTGTACTTCCCACCTCCAGGACTGTAACATCCTCACCCATCCTTCAGAGTGCAGGCGCTGTACTTCCCACCTCCAGGACTGTAACATCCTCACCCATCCTTCAGAGTGCAGGCACTGCACTTCCCACATCCAGTACTGTAACATCCTCACCCATCCTTCAGAGTACAGGCACTGTTCTTTCCACCTCCAGGACTGTAACATCCTCACCCATCCTTCAGAGTGCAGGCACTGTACTTCCCACCTCCAGGACTGCAACATCCTCACCCATCCTTCAGAGTGCAGGCACTGTACTTCCCACCTCCAGTACTATAACATCTCCACCCATCCTTCAGAGTGCAGGTACTGTACTTCCCATGTCCAGGACTGTAACATCCTCACCCATCCTTCAGAGTGCAGGTACTGTACTTCCCATGTCCAGGACTGTAACATCCTCACCCATCCTTCAGAGTGTAGGTACTGTACTTCCCATCTCCAGGACTGTAACATCACCACCCATCCTTCAGAGTGCAGGTACTGTACTTCCCACCTCCAGGACTGTAACATCACCACCCATCCTTCAGAGTGCAGGTACTGTACTTTCCACCTCCAGGACTGTAACATCACCACCCATCCTTCAGAGTGCAGGTACTGTACGTACTTCCCACCTCCAGGACTAGTATCTCATCGGCTCCAGTTTTCCTCAGCTGACAACTGTGGTCTTGTTAGCCTTATTGTAGGTACTCAAAAGTCTTCTTCGTCTCTTGTCTTCGGCGTTTTCAGCTTGTCATAATAACTCTGGCAGACATTTGTAACTAATCCACATCTGTGTGTTTTAGCTGTAAGTACTGTTACCACCTACTACACCATTTTACCTACCGTCTACACCACTTTTACCTCCTACACACCACGGGTTACCTCCCGTACTACCCACTTTACCTCCGTACTACCCCACGTTACCTCCGTACTACACACTGTTCCCTCCCGTACTACACCACGTTACCTACCGTACTACCCCACTTTTCCTCCCGTATACCTACTGTTCCTACCGTACTACCCACTGTTCCCTACCGTCACACCACTGTTACCTCCGTACTACACAACTGTTCCCTCCTACTACACCACTTTACCTACCGTACACACTACTGTTCCCTCCCGTACCACCACTTTCCCTACCATATACACCACTGTTACTACCGACTACCTACTTTTACCTACCGTACAAAACCCCACTGTTACCTACCGACTAACACTACTGTTCCTACCGTACTCCCCATTTTACCACCTTACACATACTGTTACCTCCCGATAACCACGTTTCCCTACCGTACTACACCACGTTACCTCCCGTACTACACACTTTTACCTACCTTTCTACACCACTGTTACCTACCGTACTACACTACTGCCCTCCCGTACTACACCACTGTTAACTACCGTACTACACCACTGCAAATCCGTATTACATCACTTTTACCTACCGCTTTTACCCCTGCTACCTACCGTATTACACCGTTCCCTACCGCATTACACCACGCACTACCTATTACATCCGGTACCTACCGCATTACACCACTGCTCCTACCGTACAAACCCCCAACTGTTACCCCCCGCATTACCCCATCTACCTCCGTACTACACACATGTTACCTACCGCATTCCCACTGTTACCTCCGTATTACATCACTGTTACCTACGCATTACAACCACTGTTACCTACCGTATTTAAAACCACTGTTACCTACCGTACTACACCACTGTTACCTACCGTACTACACCACTGTTACCTACCGTACTACACCACTGTTACCTACCGTACTACACCACTGTTACCTACCGTACTACACCACTGTTACCTACCGTACTACACCACTGCTACCTACCGTATTACACCACTGTTACCTACCGTATTACATCACTGTTACCTACCGTACTACACCACTGTTACCCACCGTATTACATCACTGTTACCTACCGTATTACACCACTGCTACCTACCGTATTACACCACTGTTACCTACCGTATTACATCACTGTTACCTACCGTACTACACCACTGTTACCTACCGTACTACACCACTGTTACCTACCGTACTACACCACTGTTACCTACCATACTACACCACTGTTACCTACCGTACTACACCACTGTTACCTACCGTATTACATCACTGTTACCCACCGTATTACATCACTGTTACCTACCGTACTACACCACTGTTACCTACCGTACTACACCACTGTTACCTACCGTATTACATCACTGTTACCCACCGTATTACATCACTGTTACCTACCGTACTACACCACTGTTACCTACCGTACTACACCACTGTTACCTACCGTACTACATCACTGTTACCTACCGTACTACACCACTGTTATCCACCGTATTACATCACTGTTACCTACCGTATTACATCACTGTTACCTACCGTATTACACCACTGCTACCTACCGTATTACACCACTGTTACCTACCGTATTACATCACTGTTACCTACCGTACTACACCACTGTTACCTACCGTATTACATCACTGTTACCTACCGTATTACACCACTGCTACCTACCGTATTACACCACTGTTACCTACCGTATTACATCACTGTTACCTACCGTACTACACCACTGTTACCTACCGTACTACACCACTGTTACCTACCGTACTACACACACTGTTACCTACCGATACTACACCACTGTACCTACCGTACTACACCACTGTTACCTACCGTATTACACACTGTTACCCACCGTATACATCACTGTTACCTACCGTATACATCCACTGTTACCTACTCGTCTACACCACTGTTACCTACCGTATTACATCACTGTTACCACCGTATTACATCACTGTCTACCTTTCCGTTCTAGCTCACCACTGTTACCTACCGTATTACATCACTGTTACCCACCGTATTACATCACTGTTACCTACCGTACTACATCACTGTTACCCACCGTATTACATCACTGCTACCTACCGTATTACATCACTGTTACCCACCGTATTACATCACTGCTACCTACCGTATTACATCACTGTTACCCACCGTATTACATCACTGTTACCTACCGATTACATCACTGTTACCCACCGTATTAACATCACTGCTACCTACCGTATTACATCACTGTTACCTCCCGTATTACATCATTCTGTTACCCACCGTATTACATCACTGCTACCTACCGTATTACATCACTGTTACCTACCGTATTACATCACTGTTACCTACCGTATTACATCACTGTTACCTACCGTATTACATCACTGTTACCCACCGTATTACATCACTGTTATCTACCGTATTACATCACTGTTACCTACCGTACTACACCACTGTTACCTACCGTATTACATCACTGTTACCTACCGTATTACATCACTGTTACCTACCGTATTACATCACTGTTACCTACCGTATTACATCACTGTTACCTACCGTATTACATCACTGTTACCTACCGTATTACATCACTGTTACCTACCGTATTACATCACTGTTACCTACCGTATTACATCACTGTTCCCCCACCGTATTACATCACTGTTACCTACCGTATTACATCACTGTTACCTACCGTATTACATCACTGTTACCTACCGTATTACATCACTGTTACCTACCGTATTACATCACTGTTACCCACCGTATTATATCACTGTTACCTACCGTATTACACCACTGTTACCTACCGTATTACACCACTGTTACCTACCGTATTACATCACTGTTACCTACCGTATTACATCACTGTTACCTACCGTATTACATCACTGTTACCTACCGTATTACATCACTGTTACCTACCGTATTACATCACTGTTAACCTACCGTATTACATCACTGTTACCTACCGTATTACATCACTGTTACCTACCGTATTACATCACTGTTACCTACCGTATTACATCACTGTTACCTACCGTACTACACCACTGCTACCTACCGTATTACATCACTGTTACCTACCGTATTACATCACTGTTACCTATCCGTACTACACACCACTGCTACCTACCGTATTACATCACTGCTACCTACCGTATTACATCACTGTTACCTACCGTATTACATCACTGCTACCTACCGTATTACACCACTGTTACCTACCGTATTACATCACTGTTACCTACCGTATTTTCCCGCATATAAGGTGCGACTTTTTTTTCTCCAACAAAGTCTTGGAAAATCAGCCTGCGCCTTATACGCTCAAGGTCAGGGAACAATGTTCTAGACTATGGAACAAAACTTTTCTCCAGGCTGATGGACTGATTACATCGTCTTCACATCTCTACTGCTTCTGCTAACTCTTCTGTATTCGACTGAAGAAGCCTACTGTATTGGCGAAACGTTTCGGAATAAAGATACTTAACTTATCAGACTGTTGTACTCATCGACTACTCTATTTCCAAACCAATACTTTCCTCTATCCTTTCTAAATCTAAACTTATCCAGTTTGAATCCATTATTTATTAAATACCATCATACCTCAGTCACATTAATACTGTGAACATCTTTTGAAATTCACAGCCGTGGTTTTCTCCTGGTCTTACTCTCCAAGGTCAGTAGGTATAGTTCATTAAGAATGATCATTGTGTACACCTCTCTGCCCTTGAGAAGTGGTACTGCATACCTGTGAATCTTTCACAGGTGCTCCTTGTACTTGATCAGGTGGGGGTCAGTGCTGTGGCTGAGTACTCTCTGATGGACTTCAGTACCACTGAACATGGTTTGGGCAATTTTTTTCCTGTATTTTGATGAATATATATGTCAGTGGTACTAAGTTATAAATCAGTGCCTCCTGTCTGTCCCCTTTCTTAAGGATTCAAACCACATTAATCTTGAGACTATGATAATTTTTACTATAGGATCACAGACATTGGCTACTTATTGCAGTACCAATGAAGATATGATTGTAAATGGTATTGTAATGGCGACGAGTTGTAGATAAGGACTATTTATTAAAGGAAACGTTTTGCCACGATTGATAAAGGGGCCATGAAGCCAGTCATGGCGAAACGTCTCCTTTAATAAATATCCTGAACTGTATATAAGTATTGCTAGCCCCACCACGGAGGTATGTTGTCCGGTCCAACTGCTGCAGTGTTCAGCCTCCTGGGTAGTCTTCTCATGCTCTTCTTCTTGTTAATGGTTGTGCTGCGTGCTGACGCCACCTGACTTCCCTGCTCTCATGAAGCTTCCTGCATCTCTCTCTCTCTCTCTCTCTCTCTCTCTCTCTCTACATGTGGGTTTTATCTTGTTATAGATTAATATATCTACATGATTACTTTATCATATACTGTGAGAATATTGATTACATTTCTATGTTTTTCTTGACCACACTAAATACGATTTTTTTTTTTTTTGTAAATTCTAATATACGTTTGATGAGTTTTTCTATTCCTGGAGCCCGGTCATATTATGTACCCCATACCCATGGTGTGGGCGATAGTCAAAAAATTACAGAAGTACATAATGGGTCCAGGAACTGGACCACAAAGGTTTGACAGCTAAACAAGTTACAGTGGTAAGAACTATTTACATGTATGTATCTGGTCAGTCGTAACGAGTTACTTACGCTGACATGAACTACGTCACACACATAGGCCAGAATAAGACACAATACCTTGCATATACACTGAAAGACAGGAATTATGCAACGTGTTAATTATTATTATTATTATAATCAAAAAGAAGCGCTAAGCCACAAGGGCTATACAGCTGCAACGTGTTAAACTGTTGTAAGGAAGCAAATATTCCTCTATGCCCTGAAATATTTAACCTGGTTGAATTGTTGCAGGATGTGCCACATGTTAATGAAGATAGCAAATGTGTGCAACTATGACTGCTACAACACTCGCGTCTACATTCTTCCCAACAATCCCAAAAAGGTGAGGAATTTTAATTAGTTTCAAAACAAGGATTGTTAATCTACAATTGTCACTTATGATATTTGACTTCCACTATGGCTTTACTCGGGAGTCATAACAAAGATTTATTCATATAGGGGTTAAGTATATGAAGGAATGGGTGGGTTTTGAACCCATGGCTAGTGAGCGCTAAAACTCACAGGCCAGTGTGTTAACCACTGGACCAGTTGGCTCTAATAAGATTCATTCAACTAGGTATATTTCTATATGGTTTAGAAAGACACGTAAACAAACACTACGACATATTTATTAGAAAACGTTTCGGTCCTGGGACCTTGATCACTTCTAACATACAGAGGTAGAAAGAAATTATATATAGGCGGAGAGTGAGGTGTGAGTGACGCATGGTGACCTGAAGAATGTCATGTTGGGATGAGGACGGGTAGACGATGACATCATGTGACTCCTGTGTTGTTAGGTTTGTGGTGCTTAGCCCGCTTAAGTATTATGTACGCTAATGTTTTTGAAATTTTGTGGTTTCCAGTGTTGCTTACGTGTCTTTCTAAACCAACTTGTCGGTATTTATTACCAAGATTTATACCATATTTCTATATACCATAGGGAGGTTAGCATGGGCCACCACTGTGGCCCATGAGAGATGTAGAAAGTTGGGTTGGAAAGAAAATATTGCAGGATTAAAACTATCAAGAAGCACATTGAAAAGTTAACCTTTTAGCAGTTTGTAAGATTTACCTGTCATCTTACATGGTCTTAAGACACATAAAAGATCCCGTGGCCTAGTTGGCAGTGCTTTCGCCTCACACACTGACTGTCCGTGGTTCGATCTACAACACGGGTGGAAATGCTGGGCGTGTTTCCTTACACCTGCTATCACTGTTCACTTGGCAGTAAATAGGTACCTGGGTGTTAGCCAACTGGTGTGGGTGGCATCCTGGAGGACATGACTGAACAACCCCAATGGAAATAAGACAAGATAGCAGTCAATGACAATGACGCATGGCTTTCTTAGGTTATCCTGGGTGGCTAACCCTTCCTACAACGGGTTAAAAATCCCAATAAATCATATCTTATCAGTCCTACCAGAGTACAAGGAAAAAATAAAAGGTTTGCAAGTGAGAGTTATTTGAGATGAGGTTAGCGCCTCCCTAGATGGTTGCTGCATCACAACCTGTGTACTCTGGTCCATCACAACCTGTGTACTCTGGTCCATCACAACCTGTGTACTCACTCAGGCCCATCACAGCCTGTGTACTCAGGCCCATCACAACCTGTGTACTCAGGCCCATCACAACCTGTGTACTCAGGCCCATCACAACCTGTGTACTCAGGCCCATCACAACCTGTGTACTCTGACCCATCACAACCTGTGTACTCTGGTCCATCACAACCTGTGTACTCACTCAGGCCCATCACAGCCTGTGTACTCAGGCCCATCACAACCTGTGTACTCAGGCCCATCACAACCTGTGTACTCAGGCCCATCACAACCTGTGTACTCAGGCCCATCACAACCTGTGTACTCAGGCCCATCACAACCTGTGTACTCAGGCCCATCACAACCTGTGTACTCAGGCCCATCACAACCTGTGTACTCAGGCCCATCACAACCTGTGTACTCACTCAGACCCATCACAACCTGTGTACTCAGGCCCATCACAACCTGTGTACTCACTCAGGCCCATCACAACCTGTGTACTCAGGCCCATCACAACCTGTGTACTCACTCAGGCCCATCACAACCTGTGTACTCACTCAGGCCCATCACAACCTGTGTACTCACTCAGGCCCATCACAACCTGTGTACTCACTCAGACCCATCACAACCTGTGTACTCACTCAGACCCATCACAACCTGTGTACTCACTCAGACCCATCACAACCTGTGTACTCACTCAGACCCATCACAACCTGTGTACTCACTCAGACCCATCACAACCTGTGTACTCACTCAGACCCATCACAACCTGTGTACTCACTCAGGCCCATCACAACCTGTGTACTCATTCAGGCCCATCACAACCTGTGTACTCACTCAGGCCCATCACAACCTGTGTACTCACTCAGGCCCATCACAACCTGTGTACTCACTCAGGCCCATCACAACCTGTGTACTCACTCAGACCCATCACAACCTGTGTACTCACTCACACAGGGGTCATCCCACAGTCATTAAAAACAGCGGATATAGTCCCACTCCACAAAAGTGACAGTAAAACAACTGCAAAGAATTGCAGACCGATACCACTAGCGTCCCACGTCATAAAAATCTTTGAAAGGTCTCTAAGAAGCGAGATCGCCAACCACTTGGATGCCTAACAGTTGCACAACCCAGGGTATCATGGGTTTAGAACATGTCGCTCCTGCCTCTCACAACTACTGGACCACTATGACATAGTTTTGGATGCTCTGGAAGACAAACATAATGCAGATGTAGTATACACAGACACTGTGAGAGCCTTCGACAAGTGCGATCATGGTGTAATAGCACATAAAATGCGTGATAAAGGAATAACAGGAAAAGTTGGTAGATGAATCTATAACTTCCTAACAAACAGAACACAAAGAGTTATAGTAAACAGAGTAAAGTCAGAGGCAGCCACAGTGAAAAGCTCTGTTCCATAATGCACAGTACTGAGCCCCATCCTTAACCTCATACTCATATCTGACATAGAAATGTAAGCCACAGCACCGTGTCCTCCTTTGCTAACGATGCCAGAATATGCATGACAGTTTCATCCACTGAGGACACAGCAAATCTCCAAGCGGACATTAACTAAGTCTTTCAAGGCCACAGAAAACAATATGAAGTTCAATGAAGACAAATTTCAATTACTCCGCTATGGAAAACTCGAGGAAATAAAAACTGGATCGGAGTATAAAATAAATTCCAGCCACAAAATAGAGCGAAAAACTAATGTGAAAAACCTGGGAGTGATGATGTCAGAGACTCTCACTTTCAAAGATCACAACAATATCTTCACCACATCTGCTAAGAAAATGATAGAATGGATAATGAGAACCTTCAAAACTAGGGATGCCAAAACCAATGATGATTCTCTTTAAATCGCTTATTCTCTCTAGGCTGCAGTATTGCTGTACATCAACGGTCCCTTTCAAGTTGAGTTTAATATGTTTATTATGCACCCCATACCCATCCTGTGGGCGGTAGTCAAAAGATTACAGAGGTACATAATTGGTCCAGGGACTGGACTCCAAAGTTTTGATAGCTGAGCAAGTTACAAAGGTAATGAACTAGATCTGGTCATAATCATGACCAAGTTACAAAGGTAATGAACTCCAGGTTGAGCTGGTCACACTCATGAATAATTGCAAAGGTAATGAATCATAAACACATTAATCATGAGAATTTACAAAGGTAATGAGCTCCAGGTAGAGCTGGTCACAATCATGACAAGTTTCAAAGGTAATGAATGATAAACACGTTATGACATGATTACAATCATAGACAAATTACAGAGTAATGAGCAGTTAACAAACATAGTAGGGAATTCATCCATTGCCCCAACAACAGATGTTGCTAGGTGCCTGTCTCTCCTCGGCAGACAGCCATTGCAAACAGCAGCAAGTTGCCCAGGGATCTGCTGCTTGCACGAGCACCATCGACCCTCCCCAAGAGGTCCAAGAAGCCAGTGACTCCGTTAGCAGCCCGATGGAGAGCTGTCCTAGGGACATGTCAGCGTCCTGGTGGACGCCAAGTTGATTGAAGATCCCAGGCCCTCGTGTGCACGGATGTTGAAGCTTGAGGAACTGAGTACACACTGCCTGTGGCACACCTGACAGCTGCCTCGCGGTCGAACTCCACGATGCTGTCCCTGTAGTAGAAGTTCCTGTGAGCCCGGCACTCCCTACAGTGCCATCGCTGACATCGTGGGTTAGGGGAGAAGTACCCTCTACAGATGGGGTGGCGCTGGGAGTTGGGTGGGTGAGGCGGGGGAGACACGCAGGAGTGAGGCGTTATGAGAGGGTCACTGTTTACTACACACGCCCTCCCCCTCCCCCCCAGCGGTGGGGGGGAGGCGCTGACTGGTCCTGACTCTACAACACCAAACCCTCTAAAACTGCACAACACTTCAACTATTTACGCTGAAACGATGCATTGGGATGTCCGTTCGCTGCTCTGGTATCTTCTCAAAGCATTCACACTGAGTTCTGTTTAAGTAGGGACCTGGTCAGCCTCTTTGACCAGGAGCTATCCTTGAAAATCCCGCAGCTAGCCCGCTACACAACCTGCCGCATCGGCCATGCCAACAGCTGTGTCCCTTTCAAGGCAGGTGAAATTACTGACCTAGAGAATATATAGATAACTTTCACTGCATGTGTAAGTACAATAAAGCATCTAAATTACTGAGAGTGGTTGAAGTCCCTTGACCTGTACTCCTTAGAATACAGGCGAGAAAGATACACTTGGAAAATCCTAGAGGGACTAGCCCTAATTCTGCACAGGGAAATCACTCCATATGAATTCAAAAGACTCGGAAGGTGGTGCAACATCCCTCCAATGAAAAGCAGGGGCACCATGAGTACGCTAAGAGACAACACAGTGTCAGGGGCCCAAGACTGTTCAACTGTCTCCCAGCATACATAAGGGGGATTACCAATAGACCCCCTGGCTGTCTTCAAGAGGGAGTTGGACACGCGCCTAAAGTCAGTACCTGACCAGCCGGGCTGTGGTTCGTATGTTGGTATGCGTGCGGCCAGCAGTAATAGCCTGGTTGATCAGGCCCTGATTCACCGCGAGGCCTGGTCATGGACCGGGCTGCGGGGGCGTTGACCCCCAGAACACCCTCCAGGTATACAAGATAACGTTGAGGTAGCAGTAAAAAACAATGGACATTTATGGGGTTGAGACAATACACGGGATGTATACAATGTTACAAGTCTGTCTTACACTGTATAAAGAATATAAAGGCACAATACCACGACCGGAACAATACACGGTATTGTGTATTTTGATGGCAACAGGTAGAGTACAAATAGTAAGCACGTTGGTCTCGCACAACAGACGGAGGATCAAGCCTCCACCACATGGGTTTGGTGCTTAACATGAATTATTAACAATAAAAATGTGCATTTTTAGTCTTTATGGACCCTGAAAGTAAGCATCTAATTCTTTCCAACTCTTTTTGATGTTCTTCCTTCTTTTAAATCCCTCTTTCGTTCTTATGAGGCTGTTCTTATTACTTCCAGGCGTCGTAAGAACCAGCTTTGCTTTTTACGTTCCTCTCGTATATATACTGGCTCCCTTACCGTTGTGTGTTAGTGTGACTAGTTAATGGTCCAGGTTGGATTGAAACGTCTTCGTAAGTTTCTTTCTCCTATGTGTGGGTTATTTGTGTATTACGGTGTACAGACGCGATTGTTGTGTAGCTGATAAACTTCAAGTAGAGGTGGGTGTTGGTGGTGTCCCGTAGCTCGATCACTAGCGCACTCACCCAACACACTGAGGTCCGGAGATCGAATCTCCGGGAAGAACATAAAAATATAAATAAGAAGGAACACTGCAGCAGGCCTACTGACCCATGCGAAGCAGGTCCATGCCCCCCCCCTCCCTGGATTAGCCCAGTGATCCACCTAGTCAGGTCACTTCCACTTAAGGAAGGAGCAAGGCATCAGACATAGTAGCACAAGCTAGTCAGGTCCAACTCACACCCACCCATACCCACTCATGTATTTATCTAACCTATTTTTAAAACTACACAACGTCTTAGCGTCTATGACGGTACTCGGGAGTTTGTTCCACTCATCCACAACTCTATTGCCAAACCAGTGCTTTCCTATATCCTTCCTGAATCTGAATTCTTCCAACTTGAAACCATTGCTGCGAGTCCTGTCTTGGCTGGAGATTTTCAGCGCGATATTTACATCCCCTTTATTTATTCCTGTTTTCCATTTATGCACCTCGATCATATCCCCCCTAATTCTACGCCTTTCAAGAGAGTGCAGATTCAGGGCCTTCAGTCTATCCTCATAGGGAAGATTTCTGATACATGGGATCATCTTTCTCATCCTCCTCTGTACGTTTTCCAGTGCATTTATATCCATTCTGTAATACGGTACTGCTGGAAAACATTAGGGACGTGTTTCCATAAGACACCTGTTGTTCCTGTTCACCCATCAGTATAACATGGGTACCTGGGTGTTAGTCGACTGGCGTGGGTCGCATCCTGGGGCAAAATTGACCTAATTTGCGGGAAATGCTCAGCATAACAAGCGGCTTTCTATATAGTAGTATGTCATTGATGTCAGCTATGGTCTGTATACCTTGTACACGTACTTGTAGTAAATAAAGATATTATTATTATTATTATTATCCATCTTGTCCCTGATGTAGAGAATAGTTCTGGAGGAAAAAGGTCACTAGAGTTGTTTCCTTCAGAGGTAAGTTTAATAGTGATGAGAAGACAACCTCTGGAAAGGCAGAGATTGGATCAACAATAGTGAGAGACGGCCGTCGAGGTAATACATTTTTTTTATATATTTTTTTTTTCATTTTCTCTGGGATAGGTAGATCCTGATTTTCTTGTGAGTCCTCTTAGTGAAGGACAAAGTTATGTCTACGTGGTCATCTAGCCACGTAGTAGCCATACCCAACACTGCTTAACCTCACTCACCAATACACACAGCATTCTTTATGTAATAAAGTTGATAGAATTACCGACAATATGTTAGGTAAAGGACAAAAGTGCAACTAATGTGACAAAGCGAAACGTTGCCAAAATAAAATGTCACATTAGTTGCACATGTGTCCTTTTACCTAACATTCATTATGGCACCAATGACATTGCATTCACTTCTGAGAAATGCACAATTTTCTTTTATGGATTATTTTAATATAGTACATTATTATTTTGTATTATATGGGTAGGATGACCCAAGAAAGGAAACACACTCACCATCATTCATTCAACACCTCTCTTCTTCCCTGAAATGCACGGATAGCACAATTTAAATGACCTGAATTGCAACATTCTTGACCATCCTTCAGCGTGTACTTCCCACCTTCACAACTCAATACATTATAATATTGTATATAATCTGTCCATGTTGTAATATACTTTATCGTCCCATAATAGCCGTTTATAAATTACACTGAAAAAAAAATTCTAATCAAATTTCTCATTGCTTACAGTCTAACAAGTTGTTCATCATTGAAAACAAGAAATACAAAGAAGCAACTCTTCCTTCACATCTTCTGGCAAATGTGAACCAGTGTTTGAGAACACGAGAGACAGAAGCAAGTGACAACAAGAGCAGCACTCGCACGAAGAGAGGTAGCAGGATACGCAGAGGAGAATACCATCGCAACACTGACGAGGATATAAAGTCTAATCTCAAGGAACTAGAGGCCAACATGATCGAAATAGTGAGCGAGAAAATGGAAGACATGGCAGAGTCGTATACCTCATTGAATAAACGTATCACAGCCTTAGAGGAGAAGCTGGATAAAGTTGTGAACTTATTGATGGAGAATGTTGATGTTACCCCTGCAGACACGAGTCCCAGCAGTGGTGAAGGTACCTGAGAATGCTAGTGCCATGTCACAGCGCCAAGGATTTACATACTCTTGTTAGTCATAGTTAAAACAAACATTAGTGAAAACCACAGGATTCATTCAAAGTATGAAAAATTGAAATTTGCCATGTTTACATGCATCCTACTGGGGTCCTAAATGTTTACATGCATCCTACTGGGGTCCTTAATGTTCACATGCATCTTACTGGGGTCCTAAATGTTTACATGCATCCTACTGAGGCTTCTAAGCACATTCAGGTACTAAGAATATCTTATATAACAGATGGTAACTTATTTAATGCAATTATAATACAATAAATCACATAGTGAAGAGTAATGGGATGGATCCAGGTCTTACTAGAAGGTGATCATATAAAATTTACATACCAAAATAAAATTAGTCAAGATTTAGAACTCGATTCAGTTAAAAAAAACTGAGGCAGACTTGAACAGTGATTAATACTGATGATTCAGGTGACTGACTGAAGAATACTGGTTCAAAATTAGCTTAATGCACCAGATGTACTGGATTGATGATGTTTTGTTGGTCAGGAAAACTGGTTATGTTTTCACCTTAGGTTAAGATTCGCCAGTAAACTGGACAAGTGTTTCCTGACGTGGGTCTTAGTCATATGATGACCCACCACTGGAGCTTGTGGTCATCTGACAGAGGCCTTCCGCTTGTTATACTCGACGCTGGTCTTATACCACGACCTATTCCATAAAGCGTTGAACTGTGGCCGTCCTCTGTATACTACATGCTGACTGTATCAGTTACAATACATGGGTCTGAGGAGCTCAACTCGGCAGTGATTAGGTTTAAAACAAAATGAATTTTAATAAGATTGCAAATATAGTCTTAGGACATGTGGCATAATGCAATATTTTGATCCTAAAGTTCAAAATTATTGTTTCACATCAATGTGGAACAACATAATGAGACATAACGAGCTGTATATACTTCTGATTACTGATAAATAACTGAAAATGAAGCAGTATTAGATTTTTCTCACTAGTTTAAATACTGAACACACACACACACACACACACACACACACACACACACACACACACACACACACACACACACACACACACACACACACACACACACACACACACACACACACACATACACATGTATACTATGTAGAATATATTAATTTTAGTGCTCAAGTGTTTTGTATATATGGAGTTAACCTTTTCATGCACATGGAGTGTAAATATCTGTACTGTGATAACCAAGTGTTGTATATGCATCTCTGTGTTGTCTTCCCAGGGAAATATTTTTTAAATTGTGCCTTAAGAAATTAAGGAAAATCTAGAGTAATTTAATTTAAAGACAATGTGCCTTAAGAAAAACTTAAGTGATGAGCTCAAGACAACGATGCCTTCAGCAGAAAGTTTTGTTATACTCGAAAAATATGTTAAGAACTTCAAAGTTTTGTTAAATTTGAATTAACTGAGTTTATAATTAAGCTTGTGATGACAGAGCCTTTAGATGCAAAAATATTATTTACAAAGACAACACTAATTTATATATATATATATATATATATATATATATATATATATATATATATATATATATATATATATATATATATATATATATATATATATATATATATATATAATAGTGCTGAAGCTGTGACAGTTTATGTATCTGTGTGGGAGCCTCACCCAAGTGCAGGCAGCAACACAAGTTAATGAACAGGTGTTTCTCAAGAACTTATACACTTATACACTGTGAGGCGTTTGTCTCTCAGTGTATATATACTGAGAAGTGCCTCTCAGTGTATATATACTGAGAAGTGCATGTCTCAGTGACTGTACACTGAGAGGAGTATGTCTCTCAGTGTACAGTGCATGTCTCAGTGAATGTACACTGAGACGAATACCTCACAGTGTATATATAAGTTGTGTTGCAACACAACTATCATCAAAGATTTGTTAAGTTATACCATGAATTAAGGAAAGGTCCTGGACTTCACCTTACGAAACAGACAAAACAAATGTGATAGTAATCATGGACAAAGTAGATTACAGTTGAAAAATGAACATGGGTAACACGAGACTTCAGCCTTACAGCGCTAGGCAGTGTGTTAAAGTATGATATAAACCTTGGTAACAGATACCCACAAATTGATTTAGAAAGACAGGTAAGCGAACACTAGGACATATTAGAAAACGTTTCGGTCCTGGGACCTTGATCACTTCTAGGTCCCAGGACCGAAACGTTTTCCAATAAATATAGCCTAGTGTTTGGTTACATGTCTTTCTAAACCAGTTTGTTAAAGCATTATGACCCACCTCTGGCGGCCATCTTGGCTCTGCCACGCCATGTTTGCTGATTCCTATGGAACACAGATGCCAAAACCATTGCGAGATTGAAAAAGAATGACAAAACTGAAAAGTAGAATTTTAGATAAAGATAAAAACAATTAGAGGGCATCTTCGCCTTGTGTATGACATACGGAAGTCCAGAAAATATTGTGAAATTTAAAAACAAAATGAAAACGAAATTTTTAGGTCAAAATGCGAAAAATACAGACATGAATATCGTGTACTGGAAATTTTAGAGATAAGTGGACGCGATCTCGTATATATTTTTGTGACTCACGAAATCGTAATGACACGATTGCAAACAAACCATACCACGGATGGGGTTAGAACCCGCGATCAGAGTCATAAAACTCCAGATTAATGTGTCGGTCTGGAGTTTAACGACTCTCTGATCGCGGGTTCTAACCCCTCCCGTGGTATGGCTCGTTTACATTTTTGTGAATATATTTAAGAGTGATCTTGAGGGATGCAAGCGGTGGTGTACTCAGGGGTCGATTCATAGCTCCTGGCCCTTGAGTTACCTCAAGATACACCTGTGATATATGAAGGATTCTCACAACATTCACGCACTACATGTGATAAGAATGTTATAATGGAAGAAGAGGATGTAGTAACTAATGTTAAGCATCGTGTGATGTGGATGAAGTTTGTGATAAATGTTTGTGAACCTTAATGATTCTCTTCCCAGAAGAATAAAAGTGACGATACTGTTACTAAAATAATTCAGATCTATGTTAGGTAAAAAGACACATTTATCTCCTCCATATTGTGATTTAGATATGAATTGTAATAATGTTGGTAGATTTACCGGCAATATGTTGGGTAAAAGGACACAAGTGCAATTAATGTGGCATTTTATTGTGGCAACGTTTCGCCCTCCAGGAGCTTTGTCAACGTTCTTACTGCTAAGTGAACGGGAACAGCGGGTGGAAGGTGGCTAGCACCCAGGTACCTGCTTACTGCTAGGTGAACAGGGACAGCAGGTGTAAGGTGACTAACACCCAGGTACCTACTCACTGCTAGGTGAACAGGGACAGCAGGTGTAAGGTGACTAACACCCAGGTACCTACTCACTGCTAGGTGAACAGGGACAGCAGGTTTAAGGTGACTAACACCCAGGTACCTACTCACTGCTAGGTGAACAGAGACAGCAGGTTTAAGGTGACTAACACCCAGATACCTACTCACTGCTAGGTGAACAGGGACAGCAGGTTTAAGGTGACTAACACCCAGATACCTACTCACTGCTAGGTGAACAGGAACAGCAAGTGTAAGAAAACCCGTGCTGGGGATCGATCCCTGGTTCCCTCAGTGCAAGTCGAGGACGCTACCAACCAACCCACGAACACCCACATGACTTACTAACTCTAGTAAGGTGCTCACAGGTGTGGGTGGTCAACCAGACCTGTAACAATCACGTCAGTAATTGTTCCTACATATATTTCTCATTATCAACAATAAAAGTCTTATTACAATGATTATATTTTTATATTTGTCCTCACTGAGTACACATACTTGGGTATACCATACCCAGGTATACCATACCCAGGTATAGCTGATGGAGATGATTTCAAGAAATATACCTCACCAATTTTAATGGTTCACAACAAATCTGGAAATTGGCTAAAATTCCAATTCCAGATTAGTGAATCACTTTACATAAGACAGATACAGTTACACAAATAACCCGCACATAGAAGAGAGAAGCTTACGACGACGTTTCGGTCCGACTTGGACCATTTACAAAGTCACACTTTGTAAATGGTCCAAGTCTGACCGAAACGTCGTCGTAAGCTTCTCTCTTTTATGTGCGGGTTATTTGTGTATCGTTCCAGTCACGATATTGTGCCTTTTTTGTTATATACAGATACAGTTCACAGACAAGACACTTCTTACTACTGTAATACAGTACTGATATAATACAATACAAACATCTAATAGCACTGGTGGTGGTGATATTCACAGTCTGGTGAAGGGGATATGGGAACATATTGGTCAGTCTCCTGATCGTCTGGAATCGTTAAAAGGTTGAGTACCTCTGAAGTCTGTAAGCTGTTTAACGTTAGGCTAGTGAATAGACGGGAAGAGAGAACTGGTAGGCTTGTGAATAGACGGGAAGAGAGAACTGGTAGGCTTGTGAATAGACGGGAAGAGAGAACTGGTAGGCTTGTGAATAGACGGGAAGAGAGAACTGGTAGGCTTGTGAATAGACGGGAAGAGAGAACTGGTAGGCTTGTGAATAGACGGGAAGAGAGAACTGGTAGGCTTGTGAATAGACGGGAAGAGAGAACTGGTAGGCTTGTGAATAGACGGGAAGAGAGAACTGGTAGGCTTGTGAATAGACGGGAAGAGAACTGGTAGGCTTGTGAATAGACGGGAAGAGAGAACTGGTAGGCTTGTGAATAGACGGGAAGAGAGAACTGGTAGGCTTGTGAATAGACGGGAAGAGAGAACTGGTAGGCTTGTGATAGACGGGAAGAGAGAACTGGTAGGCTTGTGAATAGACGGGAAGAGAGAACTGGTAGGCTTGTGAATAGACGGGAAGAGAGAACTGGTAGGCTTGTGAATAGACGGGAGAGGAGATAACTGGAAAGGACTAGGCTATGAATAGACGGGAAGAGAGAACTGGTAGGCTTGTGGATAGACGGGAAGAGAGAACTGGTAGGCTTGTGGATAGACGGGAAGAGAGAACTGGTAGGCATGTGAATAGACGGGAAGAGAGAACTCGTAGGCTTGTGGAAAGACGGGAAGAGAGAATTGGTAGGCTTGTGAATAGACGGGAAGAGAGAACTGGTAGGCTTGTGGATAGACGGGAAGAGAGAACTGGTAGGCGTGTGGATAGACGGGAAAAGAGAACTGGTAGGCTTGTGAATAGACGGGAAGAGAGAACTGGTAGGCTTGTGGATAGACGGGAAGAGAGAACTGGTAGGCTTGTGGATAGACGGGAAGAGAGAACTGGTAGGCTTGTGAATAGACGGGAATAGAGAACTGGTAGGCTTGTGGATAGACGGGAAGAGAGAACTGGTAGGCTTGTGGATAGACGGAAAGAGAGAACTGGTAGGCTTGTGGATAGACGGGAAGAGAGACCTGGTAGGCTTGTGAAAAGACGGGAAGAGAGAACTGGTAGGCATGTGGATAGACGGGAAGAGAGAACTGGTAGGCTTGTGAATAGACGGGAAGGGAGAACTGGTAGGCTTGTGGATAGACGGGAAGAGAGAACTGGTAGGCTTGTGAATAGATGGGAAGAGAGAACTGGTAGGCTTGTGGATAGACGGGAAGAGAGAACTGGTAGGCATGTGGATAGACGGGAAGAGAGAACTGGTAGGCTTGTGAACAGACGGGAAGAGAGAACTGGTAGGCTTGTGGATAGACGGGAAGAGAGAACTGGTAGGCTTGTGGATAGACGGGAAGAGAGAACTGGTAGGCTTGTGAATAGACGGGAATAGAGAACTGGTCGGCTTGTGGATAGACGGGAAGAGAGAACTGGTAGGCTTGTGGATAGACGGAAAGAGAGAACTGGTAGGCATGCGGATAGACGGGAAGAGAGACCTGGTAGGCTTGTGAAAAGACGGGAAGAGAGAACTGGTAGGCTTGTGGATAGACGAGAAGAGAGAACTGGTAGGCTTGTGAATAGACAGGAAGAGAGAACTGGTAGGCTTGTGGATAGACGGGAAGAGAGAACTGGTAGGCTTGTGAATAAGACGGGAGGAGAACTGGTAGGCTTGTGGATAGACGGGAGGAGAGAACTGGTAGGCTTGTGGATAGACGGGAAGAGAGAACTGGTAGGCTTGTGGATAGACGGGAAGAGAGAACTGGTAGGCTTGTGAATAGACGGGAAGAGAGAACTGGTAGGCTTGTGAATAGACGGGAAGAGAGAACTGGTAGGCTGTGAATAGACGGGAAGAGAGAACTGGTAGGCTTATGAATAGACGGGAAGAGAGAACTGGTAGGCTTGTGGATAGACGGGAACATAGAACTGGTAGGCTTGTGGATAGACGGGAAGATAGAACTGGTAGGCTTGTGGATAGACGGGAAGATAGAACTGGTAGGCTTGTGAATAGACGGGAAGATAGAACTGGTAGGCTTGTGAATAGACGGGAAGAGATAACTGGCAGGCTTGTGGTGGGTGTAACAGTTACTACCTTCTCTTTTAATACATAACCCACACATAGGAGAAAGAAACTTATGAGGACGTTAGGGTCCCACTTGGTTCATTAACTAAACACACACTAACATACGAAGGTAAGGGAGCCAGTATATATATACTAGAGGAGGACAAGGACGGGACAAAGTGAGGAAGAAGAAAGAAGTGGAGATAGTAGTGGTAGAAATAATGCTGGTAGTAGTAGTAGTATTAGCAGTAGTAGTAGTGACACAAGAGACAGAAAGTGGAGTGAAGCGAGGCAATAGTAGTAGTAATAGTAATAGTAGTAGTAGTAAATTATTGTATTGGTCAACCACTATGATTGCGAGGAAAAAATAATATCCCTTCAATTACACTTCTTTAAATTACAACTGTGACTTCTTGTTATTCCTCTTTCAAGTACTAAGAAGTCTTCTTGATCTAACTACGGCGTCTTATTCCTCTTTCAAGTACTAAGAAGTCTTCTTGATCTAACTACGGCGTCTTGTTATTTCTCTTGCAGGAACTTTACATCTTCTTTATCAACTCTTTCATGTTGTTTTATGACTTTATATGTGGTAATCCTGTTGGATCTAAGTAAGTGGAGACAAGTGGTTTTTATGACATGCAAGTGCTGTTGGAGTGTGAGAAAGGTAGCACTGATGAAGGACTCGAGTCCTGAAGGTGGAAAGTACTCTCCTAAGGAAGGGTAAGTAGGTTTATTTAGGTACATGTACACGTAAGTACAATTATCATACATATTAACATGTGTAGATAACACAGGATAACCCAAAAAAGTCAGAGACAAAGTGACTTATTTCCACTGATGTAGTTGGGAGGGTCATCCGACTTGTAATGTCAGCATCCTTCTGGCAAACAAATGATTGTACGAATGATGGTAAATGTGTTTCTTCTTTTTAATGAAGTTTTTATACCTCGGTGGGAGATCGTCGGCGTATTAACAACAATTTGGGTATTATGTCTAGTTTTCCTAACGTGGACATCATGAGCGTAGAGCTTTATGGTCAGTCCCTCAGCCTGGAGGATGAGGGACTGACCACCTCAAAATTACGTCTTCAAAGGTGATGGACTGATTACATCGTCTTTACATCTCTACTGATTCTGCTAACTCATCTGTATTCAACTGAAGAAGCCTACCGAGTAGGCGAAACGTTTCGGAATAGAGATACCTAATTGTTGCACATGTCTTACTTATCAACATGTCGATATTATACACCATTTTCATATACACCCTGACTTTATCCACCCGCCTAATATCCCTGAGTATCATGTACGTCATGGTTATGTCGCTATGTGAGCTTTAGCACCTCAGGGACTGTTTTTCTTGCAAACTTTTGTATTTTCTAAACTCCTCAACGTTTTATTCATTATCTCGTAAAACATAAGTGGTTTGTTTACCAGACGTCTCGCCCTAAACAAGACTTAATAATCAAGCCAGTCACTTCCCATCGTTCTCCTTATTCTGTATTACTGTAGATAGTACAGTCATGTCTGTGTATTATCTTCTGTATTACTGTAGATAGTACAGTCATGTCTGTGTATTATCTTCTGTATTACTGTAGATAGTACAGTCATGTCTGTGTATTATCTTCTGTATTACTGTAGATAGTACAGTGATGTCTGTGTATTATCTTCTGTATTACTGTAGATAGTACAGTAATGTCTGTGTGTTATCTTCTGTATTACTGTAGATAGTACAGTAATGTCTGTGTGTTATCTTCTGTATTACTGTAGATAGTACAGTAATGTCTGTGTGTTATCTTCTGTATTACTGTAGATAGTATAGTGTTGTCTGTCTGTCTGTCCTTTTTCTTGAACAACAGGATATCTAATGCTTACCAGAAGATTACTTGCTATCTACAGCGACTTGCAAGTTTTCATCAGTGGATCACACAGTGAACCACCAGTGGGCCCCGCCCACGTGTGACGATATCTTTAACTGCTGAACCTGTCTGGCTGCAGCATATCAGCCTAAATCCTCACGCCTCCTAAACTGCCACAGGATATTGCATAAAAATTTACACAATCTAGATCTGAAATGGCCTTCTAAGAAATCTGGCTACCAAGTCGAATTTTGGGTACAAATCGTGTTGAGGTCCCCCTCAAAGCCGCCATCATGACTCACGAAATCGTAATAACACGATTCCAAACAAACCACGAAATGGGTGGGGTATGAACCCATGGCCTGGAGTTTTACGAATCACTCGCCACGGGTTCAAACCCCACCCGTTCCGTGTTTTTTTTTTTAATGGTGTTGAGGGCACACAGGTGTTATGGGCACGGAAAAAGTACATTATGCAGATTTAGCCTCGTATAAGCCAATAAAGTCCACCC